GTAGGCCAGCCTGCGGGGCAGGGGAGGCTGACACTCTCACTGCAACTTCCTCAGTTATTCCAGTGGTTTGGACTTTCCTTAAATTTTAACTTTAGGTATTTGTTTTTAAAAACTCCAAGACAGGAATCAGAGGAAGCTGTTACTTCTCTGAGCAGCGTCGTGGGTGAACAGAGCCCTGTTAGCCTCCAGATCCCCAGAGCCTTGCACATATTTGTTTTCGAGGGGGCTGGCCGCTGGGTGGGAGTCTCAGCAGGAAGCAGTAGGAGGGCGGACAGGAAGGAGGCAGAGGCACAGACCTCAAAGCAATGCTCGCAGTCTCTCATCTGGATATCAAAAAGGGCAAGACAACTGCTTATCATTCCTGGGGATGAACACATTCATTCATCTGACAACCATGCATGTCTACTTTGACCAGAGCAGTGGGGAGACGATGCAGGCCCTGCTCTCAGGGGGCCCCCAGTACTGTGGGGGAGCCAGGCATCGATCCTAGAACAGGGCGAGGGGGCGTAGTTGTGAGGTCCAGCGTAGTGCAAGGGTCAGGCGGGCTGCCTGGAGACAGTGACCATCTGGGTTTTTCAGGAATACGAGCTGAGGCAGGCATTTGGAGCTGAGCAGGATGGGAGAGACCTGGGTGTATCTAGCATGGAGGTTAGTGAAGAGCTCAGGTATGTGCTCCCTCAGGTACCTTCCCTGACCTCTCCCAGCCTGAGGCAGACCCCCGCAACGTGCCCCAAGGGTTACAGTGTGGGGCAGGCCAGCTCCAGCCCAAAGATGAGTTCGGTTTGAATTATATTGTGGTTTCAAAAGATTTAAATTAGCTACTGACATTCACAAACCAGAAAGGCTCATAGCAAAATCTGATTCCTGGCTTCCTGGAAATGCTCAGAAGACCCAGCAGCGCTGGCTGGCGCTCCTACATGGCAACCATTAGTTGAAGGTCAAAAGTGGCCTGTATGTCCAGCCAGCGTGGCTCAGTAGTTGAGCAATGACCTATGAACCAGGAGGTCACAGTCGATTTCCGGTTAGGGCACATGCCCAGGTTGTGGGCTCAATCCCCAGTGTGGGGTGTACGGGAGGCAGCCAATCAATGGTTCTCTCTCATCATTGATGTTTCTATCTCTCTCTCCCTCCCCCTTCCTCTCTGAAATCAATAAAAAATATGTATATTTCTTAAAGTGGCCTGTGCTTGCCAGTCTACCACACTCCCCACACTCCCCACCATGCCCTAGCATTCTTCTAACAATATTGAGGCTGATTCAGAGTGGGGTCCCATTTAGCATCTCACTTGTCCTATAAATTGCCTTTTAGTGGAAGGGGAAGTAGGACAATTGTCATCCCCATCTCTATCATAAGAGGGGGAAGAAGACAGGCTGAGGGTTCCCATCCTTCCTCAGCCACTGAGCTCCCACCGGGTCCCAGCAGCTTCTGTCTGAAACCCTCGCACCTTGGGCTCACCGTTACCAAGGTCTTTGTCACACTGCACTATTCCTCATTTATGTGTCTGCCAGCCGTCAGATGCGGAGTTTCTCCAGGGCATGACTGTGTCTGACATCAGAGTCCTCACAATTGATCATAAAGCTTGATGGCCCCTAGTTATGTGCTCAGTAGTAAATGTCAAATGAAGGGATGGATGCAAATGGATACATGAAACACAGTCCAGTGAAGAAAGGTGAGGGCCTGGGTGTAGGGGTGGTGGGAGGGCAGAGGAGAGGAGGGGTTCTGAAACCAGAGGGGCAGCAAAGCACAGAACAGGGTGCACGCACAAGGAGCACCGGCACCTGGGAGCTGGTTGGACACGCCGCAGCGGGGGCACTGCCCTCGGCCTGTGGGGTAGACCCTGTTTTCTAGCAAGTCCCACGGCAGTCATCATGGATTACAGTGTGACAAGAGCTGGCTAAGCGAATGGGCCCGGAGTCCGACCTCAGGGGTTCAGATTCTTACTGTGATGCTTTCTGGCTGTGTGACATGGGCCATGTTACATCAGCTCTCTGTGTGTGTTTCCTTATCAGTTAAAATTGAGCCTCAGTTGGTATTTTTCCAGTTCCCCCAAAGGGTGGCCTGAGTACCCCTTCCAGACCTCTGAGCGCAGACTCTGCCCCGGGTGGCTGTGACACCCCCACAGGCACTTGCCACCCCAGCAGGGCCTCCTGGCACCCATTTCGCAGTTTCAGGAATCAGGCTATTCGGTAGCACTAGGTGCTCCCATCAGCCTAATGCCCAGGGAGGCATCAGAGCCTGGTACTTACGCCATCAGCTGTCCAGTAGTTCCAAACCTTGATCTTGGCCAGACCAAAGGCATGCAGCCTTCTCGTGTTGCGGATAACGAAAAAGAGCTGCAGCGGCGGGTGGAAGGGGCAGGTCCACAAGGAGGCGTCTTTCTTGCTCTGAAACACCAGCAAGAGCGGGGAGCAGTCAGTACATGTCTGCCTCCCCAGGTGCACCAGCAGCGACTCCACCCTAATAAAACCCCAGAGAGGGCTGAGGGTGGGGAGCCAGGCCCCTTCTCCTTCACCAGGTTAGGGAAGTTTTTTGCCATTATTTCTTCAAGCACGTTCTCTATCCCTATCTCCCTTTCTGCCTCTCTGGCACACCTACTATTCTAATATTGTTACATTACATGGTGTCACACAGCTCCCTGTTTTTTGTTTTTCCTCTTTGGTTCTCTGATTGAGTGATTTTTTTCAACTCTGTCTTCTAATTCATTGATTTGATCCTCAGCGTCCCCTAATCTGCTGTGTATTCCTTCCAATGTGTTATTTATTTGTGATATGTCATTCTTTATTTCTGTTTTCATAGTTACTATATCTTTTCTCAGGCTGTTGAGCATATTTACCATCATTTTTCTGAACTGTATATCAGATAAATTTCTTATCTCCATTTTGTTTAGCTCTTCTTTTGGAGAATTCTCTTGTTCTCTCACTTGGGGGCTGTTTCTTTGTCTCCTCATTTTGGCTGTCTTTTTGGGTTTGTGACTGTGTATTAAGTAGATCTGCTATGCCTCTCAATCTCTAGTGCAGGATAGTGTCAAACACTGTTTCTGACTAATTAGATCAGGCAAAGACTCAAAGCCCCCAGAGACTGCTTTTGCCTACAGACTGGTAGGATTCCGACTTGAGTGACCCCAAGCAATCATCCTCAGGTGTGGTGAGAGGTTTTTTTTCAACAGGGTGGGGCAATTGCTTCTGACTGGAGGCTAACTGTTATTCTCTTAATGGTTCTCGGAAACTCTGCACTGTGGCACAAGGTGTTTTCTAGTAGGGTGGGTCAACTGTCCTCCCCCCAGGCAAAGCTGCCTGTATAGCAAATGTCTGCATGAGAAAGATGACACAGAGTGAGGGAATGACTCAGCACAGGAAACTGGGGTGTCTGCCTTCTGAGCTCTTACCCCAGAGCCCCCAATCCTGGCTTCTGCTCACACAGCTCCAGTCCACTCTGCCCTCCCTCTGCCGGAGCACAAGATAAGTGGCTCCACAGGAAATGTTGTGTGTTGGCCCTTTAAGAGGGTGCCTGAATTTCCAGCATGTCTTCCTGGCAGACAGCAACCCCACTACTTTTCACAGCCAGATATTATGAGGGTACCCTTCTCAGTTCTGGTGCTCTCTGCTGGGGGCCCAGCTTGGGGATTAGACCCCAGAGTTCTCAGTGGCAAACCCCACAGCTGAGATATCTCTCTGGAACTTCAGTTGCTGTCTGTGGATGCCCGGCCAGCCCTTTCCCCGCTCCGCCCCTCCTATCAGTCTCTATGCAGTCTCCCTTCTCTACAGAATCCCCAGGTGGGGGTAGGTCTCCAATCTCTCCCCACCTGGACTGACCCTCGCCCTGGCTTAGAGCTGCCACTTGGGCCATCAGACTGAATTTAAAATGCAGGGCTTTTCTGTGCTTGGCCTTGAGGAAGCACTGAGGGTGGGGGCTCTAGAGGGAAGGGGAGGACAAAAGCCACCACTTGCCTTATCTGATAAACCTGGCAAACAGAGTTTTATTTTCTCTTGTAAAACCTTGTCAAATTAAAAACGTTTTAAAATAGATATCAACTGGCTCAGGCATTTGTTGGGATGGGGCCGTGGCACTGAGCGCGGGAGTCCTTCTGCCCCTCTCAGGACCCCAGAGTGCCCCTTCCGCCAGCCAACGGCCAGCAGACCTAGGCCACACACAAGGCCAAGGGGCGGAGAGCAGGAGAGCCTCGCTGTCATTCTCCTTCACACCAACAAAATTCTGTGGTGAGTGCTTTCGGTGCAGGTGGAAAGCCAAATCAGGGGACTTCTCTCAGCTCTAGTGGCCTCTCCTGTCTCTTCCAATGCCTCGTGTCCTCTGTCCAGACCAAGCTCTCAGCTGCTCCCAGACATCTCCACACCGCTCAGCCTCTTCCTGTCCTCCTCACCCTGGGAATTTCAGCTCAAATGTGCTCTCGCCCCCTTGCCCCCTGCCCTCGAGCTATCGCTCTCCCTCCAGGGGTGCCTGCAGCTCCCTGCAATGCCCGAGGCCAGCCTTCCCCTAGGGGCCCCCCAATGACCTGCCTTCAGGTCCATGGCCCTCCCCCCCACTCAGTTGGGAGCTCTTTAAGGGAAGTGGCCGCCTCAAATTCACTACAGAACCCTTCACATTCAGCACAATTCCTTGGCACATCATAAATGCCAAAAAAACTTTGTTGAAGGAATCAATAAATGGATAAGTGACATTTACCTCCTAATATCAGTCCTCTCATTGAAACTTTACAAAGACTGTAAACTGAATTTGGCCTACACAGCTATTTTATTTGGCTCATGAGTGTTCTAAAGAAAAGGCTCATTCGCTGCCAACAGTTGACAATGGGGAGGATTCCGCTCCTCAGGCTGCATTCCTGCTTCTCTGCAGACTTGAAAGCCGGTGTGACAGCGCGGGGTCCTGACACCCGTAGGTGGCCCCAGTCCCCACCACTCCCTACCGTTTCACACCCGCTTCACTTCCCTCATTATCCCTCTGCCGAAACCTGCAGGCATTTGAATTTATGGTTTCTGCTTAGGGGCTGAACAATTGCCAGTCCCATGCGCCTATAAGCCACCACCACATCCCTGACACTGGCTGAAGTTGTCCCTTTTATTGATAGGAGCATCGCCCAGGACTCCTGTCACCAGGACGGACCCTGCTAAGTGACAGAGCTGGGGAAGGAGATTGGCTGACTGGGTTTTGCCGGCCCCAGGAGGTGGAGGCCCCGCTCCAGCTGCAGGGACGGACAAAGGCGGCTTGTTCCAGTGACAACAGTGCCTTTCAGGAGGGCGGAGGCTGCTTTTGTTGAGGGGGAGAGATGAGTTCAAGGGGTTCTGACTTGTTCTGGCAAGTTTCTCAAGCTTTGCAAGGACTTCCAGTGCCCTGGCGGCTGCGAGGGCTCAGGATAGCACGTCTGACATCCAGGGGGTGGTCTCACCCCTGTGCTGAGCTGGGCCTAAACTGGGTCACTGCGGCTGCTTGAAAAAGGCAGAGGCTGAGGCTGACTCTTGGGCGCGGCGAGAAGGCCGCCATTGCTTTCCCTCACTTTCTGTCAGCAGGAGGAACAGCAGGAGCGCTAAGCGGGAACCTAGTGCTCCAAGTTGGAGAACGAGAATCCAGAGGGAACTCCGGGCCCTGTTAGCAACCCAGCTTCTGATGTTTCCTTTCACAGAGCGGAGAGGAGGGCTGGCGGGGGGCTGCTGGCGACTGACCCACTGCTTGCTGGGCAAACCCCAGGTGCCGGCCGGCAGGGAGAGCGCCTGCGCCCGCCCATCACAGGTGGTGAGGCCGGCAGCAGGAGAAGCAGGGCCCCTTCGCTTCGTGCTGCCACTGCTCTCTCACGCCTGGGAGGCGAGTCTCTGGCACACACTGTGCCCGCTGCACTCTGCCAAGTGGTGGAGTGCGGACTCGCACCCAGGCTTTTCTTCGTTAATTCGTTTGTCTTAGTCTGGGTTCCCCAGGAGCAGACCCCGAGGCAAGGCTTCCAGTGGAAGGCGTTTATTCAGATGGAAGGAGTGGAGCATGGGGAAGTGAGAGGGGAGAGGCAGCCCATAGTGTGTTACCAAGCCAGCCACTCCTGTGGGCCCTGGAGCTCTGCCCACCTGGAGTCTGGAGCCGTGTGGAGAAGCCCAGAGGGACTCCCCCACACGATAAGGGAGCGGGGTGCACTCTCAAGCCTGCTCTTCCACCAGCTGGCACCTGCTGTATGCAAGGCAACGTGGGCCCTGGAGGCCAGAAAAACTCCTCCTTCAGAGAAGCATCGGGCGGGTGGTCGAGCAGCAGACTGAGTGCCCTAAGTGGGAAGGGCAGGGGAGGTGTCAGCACTGAGCTCAGCAGGTGCCGAGGGGGACACAGGGCGGGCGGAGTCTGGCCCACCAGGTCCCAGCGCTGTGCTGGTAGGGGAGGGAAACAAGTGAAAACACAAGAAAAAACACAGCATGGATGCATTTGATGATGAAAACAAGAGAGAATTATTAATGGCCAGTGGAAGGGCTACTTTAGAATGCACGGTCAGGGAGGGCCTCCCTGAGGAGGTCACTTTCTAACTCCAAGACAAAGGTGCTTTCTCTTCCAGCTTAACCCAATGCAGATGCACCCGCCCGCAGGGAGATGCCGACAGGCCTCGGAAGTCAGCCCAATTTCATAAAGCATTGCAATAAAAAAGGAACGAACTACTGATATACACAACGATTTGGATGGATGTCAAGGGCATTATGCTGAGTGAAAGAGTCAGTCTCAAAAGGTTACATACAGTAAGCTTCCATTTACTTAGCATTCTTGAAATGACAAAACATACAGGGAACAGATCGGTGGTCACCGGTGTTAGGGACAGGTGTGGGGAGATGTGACTAAGGGTTGCACGGGAATTCCTCTGTGGTGATGGAGCCATTCTCTACCTCAGTATGGTGGCAGTTATGCAAATCTACACGTGATCAAACTGCAAACACACACACACACACACACACACACACACACACACACACACGAGTGTATGGAGGTCTGCACATTATGCCAGTGTCAACCTCCTGGTCTGACCGGGGTCTGTGATTACAGAGGATGTTATCAGTGGGGAAGCTGGGCAAGAGCGCCTAGGACGTTTCTGTTATTTTAAAAAAATTGAGATACAATTCACATATATAAATTTATATATAAATCACCACTTAAAAAAAAAAGAAAAAGAAAATCATCACTTCAAAGCAGCGGTTCTCAACCTGTGGGTCGTGACCCCTTTGGCGGTCAAACGACCCTTTCACAGGGGTCGCCTAAGACCATCCTGCATATCAGATATTTACATTACGATTCATAACAGTAGTAACATTACAGTTATGAAGTAGCAACGAAAATAATTTTATGGTTGGGTCACAACATGAGGAACTGTATTTAAAGGGCCAGAAGGTTGAGAACCACTGCTTTAAAGTGT